TTATATGATTGCGATAAATCATTGACATTTCTTAACATCATTTTTGAATTCACGTTGCTAAGTAAAGAACAATGTTGCTAGCGTTACCAGCGTACCAGTTGCACAACACATGGTTGCAAGATTTTGCCAAAAGTATCAGTTGATGAAAATTTTCGAACAGTACCGTATCGATAAGATGTATCATTTTCGAGTGGAATTAATTCAAAAATATAGTTACATCTCACATATTATGCGTTACAGTACCAAATTCCAAATCATAGTGATGGCAATAAAAAATCTACCATTCCATTCCTACCAAACAATTTCAAAGGGGAGCGTGAAATAGGAGAGTGATTGTGAAAAACGACTGCATGATATGTAGGATGTAACAATATATTCAAATGAATTTCACTCGAAAATACTACATCTGATCGATACGGAACGAAAGCACCTTCTTCTTGTAAAGATTTTCAGGTTCCTCATAATCAGATATTGATTTGTTGAATAACATGATACCAAGGAGTTCGAGCAATATTTGATATTGTCTCACCCTGTTTTGTTCACTTCTGAATGATATTCTGGCATGATTTCATTTTCACAGTTCACAACTTCAGTTTTCTCAATGAATCGCATTATCTTGTCACATGACGTTTCCGAAATATCCAATGGATATCAAGTTCAGGAGGATCATGGATTCCATCGGCGACATTTTTTCAATCATGTTCATTGAAACTTTTCTTCCTATTTTAAATCTCAAAAGCTACTGATGAAATTTGGCTGGCTAATTCTGATTCACTCTTTATAGGGTTTCAGGAAAAAGTTTCAAAGTTCAATGTTTATATTTATTTTTCATCATATGCATGCAATGTGCACTCAGATATTGACATCCTGCACTATTGATTTCATTTTGGCCTCATAATCATAAAATATTGAGAATATATTTATAACACGATAGTTCTAGTTACATTCGCTCACGAATATACTCTGACATTTTTTGTCACCATTTTGTCATGCATATATGTACTCGAAGTGATGCAACCAACTATTCTATTCACAATATATTCCTTAATAGGTAAATCAGATTCCCAATTCACAATACTCTAGTCAATCGAACATACTTCATCGTATGAACATTCTCAGCCCTCTTGGATTTTTTGTAATTCGAATCAGATCTGAGGAGCACGGATTTCTTATCCAACCAACTTGACAACAACGCCCTTCTGCTTTTTCAGAATCTTTACGCGTCTCGTACATTCCGGTATATTGACGGTCTGTCGATGTACGGTTTTGTCATTTCACGATTCTGATTCTTTACGGGTTTGGTATCTGACCATTCATTCATGATGCGTTCTCGATCGATACGAATATGGAATTTGACGGATCAGTATTTGTACGGATCTTTCATTATACGGGTCTCAAATGTCGACAGTCTGTCGTTTTACGGGTATGAACTTTCCACATTCTATCATTTTCATATTCTGTACATTACAGTTCTGCCAGTCTGATGATCGCGTATATCTATTCTAAATAAATGATGGTCTACAGAGTACGGATCGCTGAATTACAGTCTGTTCTTCTACGGTTCTATGACATGACGGTTATGTATTACTAAGATTCTGACAACGTGAAGAGTATTCAATTCACTGGTTCAGGAAGGTACACTTCTGAATATACAGTGTGGTCATTCAAGTGTGCAACATATGGGAATCTTTTTAATGAATTGCACAAATAAAATGAAAATAGAGGAAGTGCCAGAAAATGATGCATGTTTAGATATTATTTCAGGTGTACGTAGAATGGCTGCAAGTCATACAGTATACAGGGAAGGTCAAAAAATATAAAAACTGCTCGTGAGTAGAGTATCCGTATTTCAGAAAATTCAGCAAAATGTCATTGAGAAATGTTGTTCACGATCGGAAGTTATGTCAAAATACCAAAACATGGCCTTCTAAGACATGTTTCAGTTCTTCAATTTTGTTCGTAAATAATTTCTCCATTTGTAATTTGTTTCATATTCACCCTGAATGCTTTCATGAATTAATCATAATATAATCAGTTGAGCATACTTTCGTTCAGATTCAAGCATATGTGTGCAATCAACTCGAATTTGAATTCTTTTAGGGAATCACAAACTCTATGTTTGTTGCAACGATATTCAGCTCAACTTCAAAATTTCGCAAACCATATTTTCAACAAGGTGAAACTTCATTAATGATAGTATGCATATTTGTAAACTCTCATTGAATGTGAGCATTTTGTATAAAGATACAACAAATTGGTAAATTATCAACAAACATAATAATTGATAAAGTGAAAAATGTCTCAGGAGGCCATGTTTCGGTATTTTTGCATGACTCTCGATTATAAACAACTCTTCTCAATAATATTTTGCTGAATCTTCTGAAATAAGGGTACTTTACTCTCGAGCAATATTTATATTTTTTGACATACCCTGTATGCTGTGTGACTTGCAATCATTCTAAGTGCACCTAAAATGATAACCTAACATGTACCAACTGTCGGCACTATCTGTATTTTGGTTGTGCAATTCATTGAAGAGATTTCAATATGTTGCATACTTGAATGACCACACTGTATAGTAGTCTTTTGATATACTTTTGTGATTTATGCATTCTGGCATACTACTGTCTGTCAAAGTATGATTTGACAAATCACAGTTGCAGTCGCTGAAATATGATCCTGGTGATTTGCTATTCTGATTCTACACTATTCTAGCCTTATGAATTTCTATCATTCGACGGCCTGTGTCGATACGTTCTGATGCTGTATTATGGACCCCAACCTTCACCAATCGATATTCGACGAATAGCCAGCACTAAAATTTTGGGTCAATGTTACCCTATTTGATTCAGATATAGAAATGATCACCGATTATGGGCAATTTGAAATGACCTGTACGAAAGAAGTTATAATTTTTAACCAGGTTCTGGGCAACACAATATCTTGAGGTCTTATTAACGAACTATTTTTTTCAGCTCCATTTGGCAACATTCAAATGAGCGATGTTTATCTGATCGAATTCTGTTTGAGAGTTCTACTAGCTGTTAAAGCGGATGTTTTAACTCTGAAAACACCTCGAATTTTCACTGGAAATGATCATGCTCCAGAAATGAATTATGAAGAAAAAATATTGAACGAATGTTTAATTGCAACTGTTCTGGAATATCTGTGAATGTACGGAGGAGTTATTCGACGGGACTTTGATATATATATTAATAGCAATACCAATCAGACGAACTAGACAAGCCCAGTCAGCACATCCTTTCGTTGTCAACCTCGAAAGATGTCGAACAGGACTTTATCAAGACTCCTTCATCCATAGAACGGCTAGGCTCTGGAATTCATTGCCTGTGGAAGTATTCCCAACAACATATAATCTCCAAAAGTTCAAAAAAAATTCTAATACCTACCTCCTATCCCTATCCTCCCTAGGAACGCACGATGTTCTTTGAACATTATAGGGATTCCCTTTCGTGCGCTCCAAGCGATAAAAAAATTAAAACAAATTATATTCAATTCATTCCAATTCAACAACATACGTCAACACAAATCGATGATACGTGGACAGTTTTTATTTCAGTGAATAACAATGGCCTCATTTGCATGATATGAACTGGAAATAGTAATTTTTCTACAAGCGTGCGTGATTCACCCTATACCCGCACGCAATATAGTTTGGGAAGTGTCATTTTCCCGCAACAGTGCGGGAAAATAAAGATATGATAAAATCGCTAGTAATATAAGTGGTTGGTGATGGAATATAAAAGTTAGAGTTTGTTTGTTGCTGTATTAAGTATGTATGTTCAGAATCATTCATCAAATTGCACTATTTATTGTACAAATTAGAAAATATTGAGAAAAAAAAATTGATTATTATAAAAATCCCCCTATAGATTTGGATTGATCTGACGGAAAACGTTAATTCGTCATGCCAATCAAACCTCAAATAAGTTTGAAATTGTCGAAGTGACAGAAACAGCGTTACTGTCATCTTCGATTCAGTGGAAATGCCACAATGTGATCAAAAACTTCTAGCTATAGGGATTTGATACAGATGCGTTATCAACAACGAAGTCTTAAGAAAGGTATGAGAAGCTATACACGAGTTTTATTGAATGGTGCAACAATAAAGAAATGAAAAAAACCGAATGAAGAATAGGTATTTTTGGCTCATTTCATAGAAGTGTCTGGAACCTAGAGACCAAACTCCTAATGGGCCTGCTGGCTTCCGCAATGAACCAACATAATGCGTCAAACTGTAAGTTCACACTAGCTATTACTAATAATTAATAGATAGAGAATATATATCTCTTTTTAGTTGTTCCTATTTTCTAGAATAATTAATTGAACGATTCAATCAATTTCCTACGCTTGTAGAAAAAATATTGTTCCTAACTCATGCGGAAAGTGTCTTTCCCGCACGTGACTGCCGTTGACACGAACGACGCGAAGCGGAGTTCGGGCAAGCTCTTTCCGCACTTGTTAGGAAAAATATATTTCGTGAGAGAAGACGGAAAAAATCATAGGCAGATATGCGCCTATGATTGAATATGGTATTGAAATTGGAATCTTATGCTCAATTCAATGAATTGAGAAAAAATATTTGTCACCGTTTTCGTCATGCTATTCATTTATGAGGAAATGTTCTTCGTTTTTTCTCAGACAAGGCTCATGGAATATGTACACTTGAACAGAATGTCATGTCGACGAATGATTTAGTGAGAACACAGATGAGTTGTTTCAATCACATGGTTTGATTTCCCTGCTAAACATATCAAACATTGCGGGTTCTATGCAAATTCACTTCAAAGATCGACATTTCGAGAAAAGTTTCATGCCAATCATGTAGTGGGGAACTCAGGAAGCTGAGACAAGAAGACTATTCCTTTCGGAAACAAGGAACCTGTACTTTGTCACTTCAAGTGCGTTCATCATGAAATTTGACTCATTAACATAATCATCATTTCATTCCATGATATCTATATAAGTTGAATACTTACAAGAAAGTTATCAAAGACATCAGATTAGCTTTTTCTCTGGGATTTTCATTTCTTCTAACATTTCCACGGTAATCCATTATATTCAGAAATTATTCAATAACATTTATTCTGGTTCCGCGGATATATTATTAGCACAGTAACCGTTGAGAATAATAAAATATACTGTAGGGATGGATAAGTTGAATAAATATTGTGGCGATATTTTCTAGATTTAATGATCATTCATTCCATTGTCTTTATTTGCATATACTCGATGTTAGTACCGAGTCGGAGTGTAGGATTATTTTTTATCTGTTCAAAGATAATTGCAATAAATATCCATTATGATAATAGAATGAAATAGCGTTCATCGACCAAATTTTATATACAGTCACAATTGAAGTGAATTAAAACATAATTTGTTGAAATGAGAATCAGTGAGATACAATAATCAATTGTTTTTCAAATATTGACGACACAATGAGAAGAATGCCCCAACAGAAACCCTCGAAACAATCTGTAGAATTCGTCTAGGGCAATATTTTTTTTTATTCGTCTTTGAACGCATTATCTTATTTGTTGTGGAGATTCAGATCAGATTCCTTCGTTTTATGTTTAAGAGGATCTTGAGAACGATATCAATAAATCGTTTGCCTGCCTTGTGTTGTGATATTCATGAAAATAATGATGATAATAATAATGATAATGATGATAATGATTCATTCCACTTGATTTTCCGAGATTTTTTTTTTCTCGTTTTTATGGAATGAAAATATTCGTATCATTTCAATATATTTGTAGTGGGACAAATCAGAAAATGTCACTGCGTTTGAGAATTTTTTCTATCAGGGAGTCCATAAGAAGAATCCAGTAGCTTGTTAGTGACAATCTGTTTGAAAAAATGTTTGAAAAAAAGAAATATAGATATATTGAAAGAAAATCGAATTTTTACTGATCTTCGAACGTTTCGGGACCGAATCTGCTCCCGTTCTCAACATGTAAATGCGAAATATCTCGAAGAGGAATATTTCACATGGCGTGAGAGGCCGAAGAGTCGTGACAAGAATGATATGAATTCAAAGAAATGATAATAATTTCAGTGACGAAAATAATGATGATGATAATAATGATGAGAATAATATGCTCCAGAGGATATTGAATCCGTTGTGGAGAATGAGAGGTGCCGAATTTATTGGAACTTCTCATTCCCAACCCTCAAGCAGATACAAGCTAACAAGCCCGCCGAACCGAACATCGTTTTGAAGGAGGAGAAAAAACGGACTTACTATCCAGATCTCCTCTTCAGTATTTATTCACTCCATTGGCTGTGAGAAATTGCCACTAGATTTTATTCAGCACGACTCTGCGTGGCGTCGAAGGCCGCAGGGTCGTCACTGGAATAATATAAATCCAAAAAATATAATTATAATAATGATGTTAATAATAATAATAATGATAATAGTGATAATAATGAGGGCAAGTCTCTCAGAGGGGTGCCCATGGTGAGTGGCGACACCACCTTTCCGAACTGAGGGTGCAAAATCGGACTGGCAGCGAGAGCGCACCCAGAAGGAGGAAGTTATTTCTCCTTTTATGTCAGCCGTGGGCCTGCTAGGTTAATCACCTGGCAGGCCCAATTACTCTGGTTCCTACCAACAGAGGACAGGGCCCCCACAACCGACCCCAGCCAGATAGAGGTCAAAGGCAAGGTGGTGGGGCCCAACAGGACGGACAGCCTGACAACGACCGCAACGACAATGGACGCCTTGAGTGGACAGATGATCTTAGGGATGACCTTCTGCAGTGCTTCGAGAGCAGCGATCCAAGGCGTAGGGGATACATGAGGCGGATGCATGCTCTGTGGAATGAGCAACACCCAGAGCATGGAGTATTCACTGCTCAAAATCTGCGGGATTATATATCTCACCTACGCGCTAGGCAATACGTGAGAGTCCCTTCTCGGCAGGAAGATGGTGTGGAGGAACAACAAGCTCCACCCATTCTGCTCGAAAATGAGAGAGGGGACCGTGTGCTTCCTGAGGTGAGCGAAATCAGGAACCGCAGGAGCCTACTCAACATTAAGGCCCTGCGGCCCCAAGACCTTGCAAGAATGGATGAATCGCTTCGAGGAACACTTCCAGAAGGAGCTGACATCTGGCATATCAACTGTGCCGTGTATGACGTCGTTCGGTCCTCTCTACCGGAGAGACCCATACAAACGGTCTCACCGACTGAGAGAGCCGATCGGCGTGTACAAAAGATGGAAGCCAAGATCCAGTTGGCGAGACAACACACTTCCCGTATTCAGTGTGTGATGGATTATGTGAGTGCCAACAGGCCATTCACATCGAAGGTGCGACGGATGGCGAATACTTTGCGTCGCACCCATCACACACTAAATAAGGCAGTGCTATCCACCATCAAACAGCACTGCCTCGAAAGGATACGGATGTTAGTGGCTGCAAAACAGTCACTGAAGAGGCGAGCGGAAAATAAACAATTCCGCGAAAAGCCCTCTCGCTTATTTCAACCGCCTCCAAGTGTGGTTGAAAATCCGCCGACTGCTGATCAGGTGGAAACCTTTTGGAAGAGTATTTACGAGGTGAGGCATCCATTTAACAGAGATACTCCAGCCCTGGCGCAGTTCGGTACCTTCTGCGGAAGATACCGAGAGCCTGAGCCCGAATTACTGCGCCAACCGATAACCACTGAGGAGGTTCGAGAAGCCCTCAAAGGCTCTAAGAACTTTGCTGCTCCTGGTCCCGACGGGATCGATAACTTTTGGTGGAAAAAGTTTTCCTCTACCCACCACCATTTAGCCAGGATATTTAATAGCTGGCTGAATGGGGAGCAGCAAATCCCTGAGTGGTTTATCGATGGGCGAACCGTGCTTCTCCCTAAGACTGGAGATTTGTCCAATCCGAAGAATTACAGACCAATTACCTGCCTGAATGCATGTTACAAGTTGTTCACACGAATCTTGTACATGCGAGTACTCCTAGTAGTTGATCCGGTTTACCAACGGATTTTTGAGCAGCGTGGGTCGAAGAGAGGTGTCGCTGGCTGCAAGGAGAACCTGTTGATAGATAGATCTATTACACAGGACTCTGTGCAGTACAAGCGGAATCTTTCTGTGGCCTGGATCGATTACCGAAAAGCATTTGACACAACGTCACATGAGTTACTCGTGTACTTGCTCAAATGTCTTTCGGTACCCGATTCTATAGTGAGATGCGTAGAACAACTGATGCTGGTCTGGAAGACCCGCTTTACTATAACATCAGGTAATGCGAGAGTTCAGACAGAGCCAGTCATCATAAGGAGAGGGGTATTTCAAGGGGACTCCCTTAGCCCTCTCCTATTCTGCATCTCACTTCTGCCACTATCCGTTGAGCTCCGCAAAACCAGAGGATACAACTGCGGCCCACCCAGTTACCAGAGGCATAAGGTCACCCACTTATTCTATGTGGATGACCTCAAACTTTATGCCTCTGGTGAGAGGGATATGGACCAATCCCTCAGGGTGGTGCAGGAGTACACGCAGGCAATTGGAATGGAATTCGGGATGGAAAAATGTGCACTGGTTCATCTCAAGAGAGGACGATGCGAGAACTACGACAAGGACGCGCAGCTCGTGGACGGAAGCATCCTACACCACCTGAATGCCGGAGAGACGTACACCTACCTGGATGTAGAGGAAATTCATATCCAGGAGGCACAACGAGTAGAAGACGCTCTCCGCAGCAAGTATCGGCAGCGGCTCCGACAGATCTGGTCGTCAGAACTGTCGGGGAAGAACAAAGTCGCTGCGACTAACATGCTTGCTGTTCCGATCCTACTTTACTCATTTGGAGTGATGAAGTGGACTCAAGTCGAGCTGCGACAACTTGACGTGAGTACTCGCAAGATGATGCATCTCCATAGGAGTCTGCATCCAAATTCGTCCGTTCCACGGCTATACATACCTAGAGACCAGGGTGGCCGTGGACTCTTGAGCTTGGAGTATCTCCATAACAGAATGGTGCTGGATGGCGCCTGCAGAGTCATCAGGAGTTCGGATCCCCTTCTGCTTATGGTTAAAACCCATGAAGAGGCAGGAGTAGGAGCTAATTTTTTTAGGGCAGCACGTCGAGCAGCCGATAAATTGTCTCTGATTTTCGACTACGAGCGCGAGGATCAGGACTCAGTTACTGAGCTAGAACCCGCTCAGAGAGAAGCCCGCATCAAAGCTGCAGAAGTGAAAAAGCTCCTGCAGCTTCACATGGATAAGCCCATGCATTTGGTCTACTTCAAGACCATTGAAGACCGGGGCTCATCCAAAGAACTGACTTTCGCTTTTCTTATGTCAGGCGGGCTCGAATCGGAAACAGAGGGGTTCATCATGTCATGCCAGGATGGGGTTCTCAACATTCTCGTCTACCGTAGCCGTGTCATGGGTATGGAGGTCCCTGACACAAATTGCAGGGCCTGCCGCAGGGCGCCCGAGACAATAATGCACCTGCTGTCTTCTTGTACGGTGTATGCAGTCTCGGCCTATATCCATAGACACAATGCGGCATTGCGAGTGCTCTATTATCACTTGAGGCACTCGAACGGAATAGACGAGACCCCAGTGCTGTTCTATGCTCCGGGGGATATTGAGTCCGTTGTGGAGAATGAGAGGTGCCGAATTTATTGGAACTTCTCATTCCCCACCCTCAGGCAAATACGAGCTAACAAGCCTGATGTAGTCCTCCTCGACCATCAAACCAAAGCGATGTTCGTGATCAAGTTTTCGGCGCCAGCCGAACCGAACATCGTTTTGAAGGAGGAGGAGAAACGGACTAAATATCGAGATCTTCTCTTCGAACTCCGCCGGCTCTATCCAGACCATTCTGTGGAATTGGTCATCCTGATTATCGGCTCACTAGGAGGCACACGAAACACGCTGCTCTCGGAGATAAAGAAAATCCCAGCGTGCCATGATAAGGCACACATCCTGGCTGGTGAAATGCAGAAGGCCGTCATACTAGGATCATTGCGTCTACTCAGTGCACACGGTACTTGGTCCCAGTGATTACTCGCCTCACAGGCTGTGAGGAGTAGTCACTGGATTTTA